CATGCAAAGTGAAACACAAGAATAATACTAATCCTATATGGCCCCAAAACATTTGAGTGCCATATTGATTACTCATTATTCATTGTATAATGTTTCGATTTATCAACTTAATACTTGAATTAAAACAATAGTTATGCCATAATCCAAGCATGCACACTATGTTTGCCTATGGTCATGACTTTGTGAAATAGATCAATTGAAAAACATTTCAACGATGCTCATTTCATAATTCCAAATCTTTATTGTAAATGTAAGAATATAAAATTCTTTCCAATTACTATAATATGTTAGATTCTGAACTTATATGCAATGATCCTCTTGTAATGAATATGCACAAAAGTCACAGAGACTTGGCAACAGAGATGATAAAGTATTCCAATGGAGAACAATTCCATGGAAACGAAGTCTCAAATTGAAAGTACATTCCTTTGAACATCCTTCTTGCATAAAAGTTTCCTAATCTTGCACAGATTTAAAGAATAACTTCCTCTTATGGAAACGTTTCCATATTCCCATTTTGACTATCACTTCTGAACAAGAGTTACCTCTTCTCAGAGTATGTCAATATGATCCATCCATTTTTATACTTCCAACTACAAGCGAACAATCCTTGGCGAACCTTAGATTGTCCTTAATAGTTGTTAACCACTTTAGTCATATCCGGTTCTAGTCCTTTTTCCCTCTTAATGTCCTAGGCATTTGGAAAATTTAGAACGCGAGAATATTATAGCGTATGCAATCGATCCTATACCCGAAGCATATGGGATATGATTCATAATGTCTAACATGGAAGACCCCGGGGGGTTCCCGAGGCAGTCGGATATAAGACCATGTGGGGGTTCCCATGGCTTTCCAAGCTAAGACCATGTGGGGGTTCCCATGGCAGTGGGCTAAGACCACGTGGGGGTTCCAGTGGCACCCAGTGTAAGACTTTGGAGGGTTTCCAGAGGATCCTTATATGTTTGTATGTTTAGCTCATATGTTTGTATGTATAGTTTGCGTTATGTCTTGTTTGGCAGGAAGACCTTGTGGGGGTTCCCAAGGCAGGAAGACTATGTGGGGGTTCCCATGGCAAATAAGACCACGTGGGGGTTCCCGTGGCACTAGTGTAAGACCCTGGAGGGTTTTCCATGGCTTCTTTATATGATTATATGCAGAGCTTATGTGGTAGAGATATCTTTTACAACTAATATGACATGTGTTATGTAGATTGTGTGTGGGGTATGCTCTGGGGGACTGACTAAGCTTTTTGCTTATGGTATACAGTTTTGGTTTCAGGTATCATCGATTTGGAAAAGAAGAGCTCAGATTGATCGCAGTGCACACACCTATGATTTCTGCAAAGAATGATTTTGGGATGAACTCTGATAAATCTTTTACTTAACGATGATTTGAAATGTTTGAAATAAATGGTATCAATGTTTTAGCTATATTAAAAATGAAATTTTTACCCTTTATTTTTGGGTCGTTACATTACCCTAAAGTCCAATCCTTCACTTGGCCTAAAACATCAACACTCAGATGTCCTAAAGAGGACCTAAGCATCCAAGTCCAAAAAGGTGGCCCAAACTTGAAGCCTAAAATCGCAAAGCCCACAGACTGAGTACACGTGGCGTACCCAACTACATGCTAAGTGTACTCGCATTGAGGCTTGTACGTTGCGCGTACTGACTTCTATGCCCAGCGTACTCCCCTGTTAAGCCATTATCCCCATTAAGCTCTTAATTATTTAAGATAAACCCCCAAAATGTAGATCTGACTTCCTTGAGCTGGAATAAGACGTAAAGTTGCTAACTTTATGTTCATGCATGACTAAACGAAGCTATTAAGCTTAGAAATGACTTAATGCATGCATGAAGACTAATACCCCATAAAGTTGGCACATTTATGCCTAGGAAGCCTCTAACAAGTCCATATCTAAAGAAATGATCCCTTCAAATCGTCCCAAACCAACAATCTATACAAAAGGAACCAAAAGTGTGCCAAATCAATCCATAAAGAAAACTAGACATTGACAAGTCAAGGTTTGAACTTGATACCTTAGGAAGCTTGCAAAGTGATGAAGGGTTCTGGATCTCAAGTCTCCCACCAAACTATGACCTTAACTCTCTTCTAGGTTCTTCAAAGATGGACCAAATCAACACAAATTTCAATTCAAGAGCTCAAAATGCACAAATGGAGGCTAAGGGGACGTTTAGGGTTTTGTGGAGGTTTAGGGACAAGAAATTAGGCCAACCCTAAGGATTAAGGATGAATATATAGGGTGCAACACCACATATAGGGTTTTCTAGAAATCACGTGTACGCCCAACGTATATAAGCGTACGCCCAACGTACGCACTCATTATCCGGAACCTTCTCAAGCTAGTATATTAAGCGTAACAAATGGTACGCCCCGTGTACCAGCTTCAAGGGCTAAAAAGTGAAACTTTAATTAGTGAAGGGTAAAAGCGAACATACCAAGATCGGGGTGTTACAAACACCACATATGGAAATGCTTGCCACGTCTATAATGATGTTGGATGCATGAAAAACAATTCTTCTAACTCAGTAGTATTATTGTTTAAACAAAACTCAAAATCATACCCTTTAGTGCGCAAAATATGCATAACATTCTGCATGGGGCTTCTACCTTCTTGTTGAGATCTTCAAAACTTATGACGAAAATTGTATATAGTTCTCAGTGAAGACACGTTATTTGAGTTTTTGCTCCTTTAGTGTTGACAAAATATCTTGTGGTTTCACATTCAATTTTGTCAATTCTTGCACAAAATGAGATTCTTTATCCGACAATCGCATTGCAACGGATGACCCTCCATATACATTGCTATACATTGTTGGTTCATGATCGTGTTCATCATGTACGACCCTTAACGTCAAAAACCATGAGCCTTCATATACTTTCCTACCAATTCGAATGGACAATTTTTTTTAAATCCGTATCTTTGCTTTTGGGAATACCTCCACGATCACAACCAAGTACTATTTTAGAGATGAATCCAATAGTTATTGCCCTTGATCGTTTAGTGACGATAACAAAACATTGAGAACGTACCACATTTTGTACCCAAATCAATAAGGGGCTGTTTGTTTTTTTGTGAACATCTGCACAACCACTTTTGCCTGCGCCGCGCAGACAACGCGCATACATATGCCCACGTAGAGTGTTTGTTTTTTGGAAGTGCGCAGATCAAAAAACGTCTGCGCAAGGTCTTCTTGGCCCTGACATGGGCCACTGCCTTCCAAAGTCTCTAGACCTCATTTTAACCTAAACAAAAAAAAACATGGACCACTGTGCAATTTTTTTTTTTTTTTTTTTTGCTGAAAATGCATTTTTAATGTTTATGAAATGAAATTAAGTTTGAAAAATCAATTTATTTCAACAGCTGCAGTCGTTAAAAACAAACAGTCTTTTTATTGCAGACTGCAGACATTTGGTCCACCTTTTCTGCCGCAGAGGCTTGCAGATGTGGTCCGCAGACTGCGGACATTTTGGCTTCAAAAAAACAAACAGCACCTAAATCTTCACGAGATCTAAACACCAAAAAATTGAGAAAACAAATTTAATAATAAAAAAAAAATAGATAAATACATCAACTAATTACACACTTATAAAAAAAAATTAGATAATATACTTATTTGCTACAAAACTCATAAATACTTTCCATTTTTCTCCTACATATCAAAATTAAAAACCAAAAATATTAAAACAAAGTCATATAAAATGAAGTTTCTAATTTACGACTCAAAACTAAATATAAATTATTAATAAATTTTACAAAAAAGTGATGAATAGCCAAGTAGTCGATCAAAACCCAAAAAAGTAATAAATTAAGTGTCACCTATAAATTAATTAATGTCAAAAAGGTAACAAAATGGATGTCTATATTAAAGGTGACTTTTTCTCTTTTTACACCCATATGACAAATAATGAGTCTGTTTTGTATCTCTTTTTACACCCATATGACAAGAAATAATGAGTTTGTTGTTTTATATACTGAGAAAATAGAGAGAGGAAAAAAAGAGAAGAAGAAGGAAAAGGATAGAAAGTCCTACGACAACAACTGCTAGAGATATCCATCGGAGACCGATGACCGGTAGAGGCGACTGTTAGAGAGCTTCAGGTGACATCGGCAACAACTAGTGGTGGCGACCGACGACAACGACCGTCATGCTCTCTATCTCATGGATTATGTATTTTGTTTTTTTTTTCTTTAAACTATAAGGTCGAGTTGAGAGCAAAAAACTTACTAATCTGGTAGATTGAAAAGCTCATACGGAGATAGTAGTTACGACGACACTATTTTCCGACACAATGGATATTACGTAGCCCATCAGTGATGATTATTTGGCTCAAAGACTTGGTTTTTTTTTTCACCCATATATCATAATTGATTGTATCAGGTTCATATTTACGATTCATGTGACTAGTCTTAAATCTGCAAATTTTATAGCCATCAGTAAAATGAAAAGTTTAGAAAATGTGGAAAATTAATTTTTGATTCCTGTGATTATAGGTTTTATATGTCGCATTATAGGATTTTTGTATAGTTGACTTATGTTTTAATGGTCATTTATTTGAATTGTATAAAAAACTGAAAATATTTAGAAAATATAAAAAGAGAAACCAAATACCAATAAAAATTACTCAAAGTTTAGACTAAGATGTGGAACTGGTCCTTCATTTAAATACTAATTTTTGTTATCCACCCTTTCAATTATTGAAAAGTTCAAATAAATATAACTTTTTAAACACATACAAGACACCATCAAATACAACTAATATATATATATATATATATATATATATATATATATATATATATATATATATATAAACATTTGTACTCATTTTAGAAGGTTGCTGAGAAGGTTGACTTTACTGAAGATAACAGTTGGAAGATAGCAGAGCCTTCGCGGAGTACAATATTCAAGAAAGAATCTTCCCTGCATCTCGTCCTCCGTTTTCGTGGCGAGATGCGGATCTTTGTTCGAACGCCAATGGGGAAGACAATAACTTTGGAAGTTGAAAGCTTTGACACCATCCGTAAAGTGAAGGCCATGATTGAGGACATAGACGGGACTCCACCACATCAGCAGCACTTGATCATAGCTGGGAAGAACCTCGATGTTTCTGGAACTCGAACTTTGATGGAATATCAAATGCCACGTGTTTGTATATTGTACTTGAGTCTCAAGTTTGAAGATGATATGCGAATTTTTGTGAAGACTGCGACAGAGAAGACCATTATGCTGGTGGTGGAGAGCTTGGACACCATTGGTAGTGTGAAAGAAAAAATTCTGGACATAGAGGGGATTCCTTGTCATCTACAACAATTGTTCTTTGCTGGGAACAAGCTCGAGAATGATAAAATTTTGAGAGACCATAACATCAAAAGAGAATCTACATTGGACCTTTTTCATGTTCAGAGGTTTGGAGGAGATGATATGCAGATTTTTGTTGAGACTTTGACAGGGAAGACCTTCTCCCTGAGGGTGAAGAGCTTGGAGACAATTTATTACGTGATGTCAAAAATTTGGGTCCTAGAGGGGATTCCGGTGAGTCACCAAGTGTTGTTCTTTGATTGGAGGCGTCTAGCGTATAATAAAACATTGAGGGATTATGATATTCAAAATGAATCTAAAGTGAACGTGATGGATGTTATGTGTCCAGGTGGGTATGAAACTTTTGTTAAAACTTTGACAGGCAAGACAATCCAGATTCATATGGGAGCTTTGGACACCATTGGTAATTTGAAGGCAAAGATTCAGGAGATAGAAGGGATTCCACCACTTCATCAGCATTTGGTCACTTCTGCAAAGACCCTTGAGGATGTTAGAACTTTGGCCGATTATAATATCCAACAAGAATCTACATTGGATCTGGTTCCGAGGTTTGGAGGAGGTGATATGTGGATTTTTGTTCAGTTTTTCAGGGAAGAGTTCAAGACCATCATGCTGGAGGTAGAAAGCTCGGACACCATTAAAGATGTGAAGGCAAAGATTGAGGAGATGGAGTGCATTCCCATTGAGCAACAGAGACTTTATTTTAATTCTAAGGAACTAAATAATAGGCTGACTCTGCTTGATCATAGTATTCAGCACGAGTCTACTCTGTTCCTTCGCTTTGTAACTGCGGATGGTCGATCATGAAGATAATGTATCTTTTTGATCATAAATTCTGAATTTAGGTATTCATGTATTCTCTTGAAGAGGAGAGTGACTGAGGAGCCAAGTGTGGATGAAATTCAGTGCAGTTTTTTTCTTATTCTTACTCGATGTTATATGTCATTTATACGAAGGCCAAATTAATTGTTCCATGAACTTTCATGTTTGCTTTCCCTTCAAATATGCTACTACGTAATTAGTCTTCCTAAAGGCGTTGGAATTTCATTAATTTTTTTAGAATCATTAAATCCTGCAGTTACTGTCTCAAAATAATGAAACTGTTTCTTCCACTGAAATTGTTGTTTGGAATTTTGAAATATGAAATTTAGCATCCTATGTAGTCATGAAGGGTGAGGATCTAAACTTTTTTCCATTTAATAAATAATCATAATCCACAGGTTTAGAACGTAGGACTAATCATGCCAATATCATAGCAATCAAGAAAATTATGCTTAGAATCTTGTAACAACTCCTTGAAGTACATGAACTAGTGACAAAAGATGGAAAAAAACTTTCTTGATTCCCTGCCCTTTTAAATTTTCTCAAAACTTGATTTCAACAATTCTTTAAGACTCTACTTTGTAGGTTATTTTCTAAGTATAACAAAGATAGTAACCAGGAAATGCATCAAAATGATTTCAACTATTCTTTGAGAATCTACTTTGGTGTAACACCGGATCAGAATAACATCTCATTTGTGAAAGCGTTTTTTTATCATCTCACAATCACTATCAATCAATGTATGTGCTCTTCGATTCTAGAAGGTTGTGCCTATTGAGAATTTTTATTAGAATATCTTTACTTTTGTTAACAATGGCTTTTGGAGTATATATTTATAGAGCATTCATGTAGGGCTCGGATAAATGCAACGGTTTATTATTATTATTATTATTATTATTATTATTATTATTATTATTATTATTTTGTTTCCTGAGGGGGTGGAACCATAAGTGAGTACTTCTGTGATCTGTTTTTCAAATGAATTTTGTCATGATATATAATTAAGTTTACATAAGTAAGGTGGTTATAGAATTGTCTGTGTCACCATTCAAACCACAGGGCTCACTACACTTAAGGACCAGCATTTGAACATATCAAATCACAACACTCATTATACTTAAGTCTCACTATGTATCTCAGGTGTTAAGGAAAAAAATATAGTACCTTTTAATCTAGTATCACACATGATAGCGATCCATGAGGTGATCTTGATGTGGGTCAGTTCAATACTAGTTCTCTGACTAGTACCTTTGAAACTTGTTTACAACTACTTGCCTATTTTCATATGGTGATAATCAACCAATCCAATTCATATTAGTCTTACTTTATAGATGATCCCACAATTGTAATCGACTATGAACTTTTAGAATAATAAAATTATTCATAGATTAAACATGTTAATATAGAGCACAACAAGTGTTGATGTTATGATCATTTCTTAGTATATCAAGACATTATATAATAGTTGTTGTCGCAATGTTTGAATATCTAAATACTAAATCCAAATCAAAATCTCATTTCTAGAACAATAAAGTCTTACATCTGAAGTGTGACCATTCATACATAGCTCAAAAGAAGAAGATTATTAATGGGTTCGACTAAAATTAATTTGTTTGAATTATACGCTACTATCATATCCATATTCAACTTTACTCTAGGTATAGTTAGATATTATGGAGAATATGATTGGTATTCTTTCGTTACCTAGAGCCTCTTAGCTTGATTAAGTATACTCTCGAAGTCATAAAGATTTCTAAGTGATATTTGAATGACAGAAATCAATGAAGTTTTTCAATGAACTCATTCATCCAATCATATTAGATTTTAACTTTTAAAGTAGTGTATTCTTCTTTTGCAGTAGATTGTGTCATTTTATTTTGCTTGGACCCCATTCCAACTAAACTTACTCTTCATCCCACAATGACATTATAATCCAATTATAATTCATAATTATCTATATATGTATAGAAACCAGAATCTTATGTAGCTCTTTACATAAAGATTTTATTCTAAACTAATTATCTCATATACATTCTCTTAGTTCATATAAAGTACTCTTAGAATGCTCCTATAGTTATTTGGTGACTTAACCATGTATTCAGTTGGTATATTATGATGTGCTCGCATGATCAGATACCAGCTCTTATGCATAATATAGCTTAAATGATGGATTCATTTGCCAAGCAAATCGAATATAAATCATTTCAGATAGTTCAAACCTATGATCTAGGTGTTTTTGAGGCTGGCTCAAACTTAGTGCCATGTGACAGTGCCAAGTTTCCTCCAAAAGAATTTTATATATTGACATCTTTCAAGATATTGTCAATATATGCATAAAGATATAAAACTTTTAACATTCATTTTATCTATCCCTATAGATTTTACATTCCAAGAATGTATCTTGTCCTTCCTAAGTATTTCATTTTAGAAACACATTCCGAGTCAAGGTGAAAAGGCTTGGCATGGTCAGAACGTAATTTCTCTTTATTAAGTATGTCTCATTCATACAAGATTAGGAAAGCCACTATGCTCCCACTAGTTCTTAGTAAACATACATGTTCTATTCATTTTGATATAAAAGCATACTTGTGGTTTTATTTATTAAAATGATGATTGTAAATTTGAGATGTTTGCTTTATATCCCCAAGTGGATATCAAAATTTACACATTTTGTTAGGATAACATGGATTAAGAAAACCTCCATGCTAATCTATATAGATATCTCCTAGTAGATGTCTATTAAGGAAAGCGATCTTCCTTGAAATCTATTTGTTATATCTCATATTAAGAATATGAACTTATAGTAAAAAATATCCTTGTTGATCTAATCATATCTACTTGTGAAAAAAAGGTTTGATCATAGTTAATGTAATGAGTATGATGAGGACCACAGTCAATGACATGAGTACGAGAAAATCCTTTTATAACAATATTGCTTTAAATGTATATAGTTATCCATGTAATGTATTCTTTATAGAAGAATCACTTACTCCTTCTAACCTTGCTATAGGGAGTAAGGTCGATCAAGGCCATACTTGATTATAATACAAGTATTACATCTCATGTTCATGAATCTAAGTCATTTATTAGATTCAAGATCTAACATAACATCTTGGTAGTTGATGGATTTCTAGAAACCGTTATGAAGAGCTCATCAATAAGAGATTCCACATTTCTCAAGGTATAGATGATTTCTACCACTAATGCCAACAATTTGTGTTTATGAATAACAATTATTCAAGTTTAACAATCCTTGTTAAAACTAGTGTCAACTGTTATTACATCAGGCTATGGTTCTTGAACTTTTTTAAGTTCCATGTGCATCCCATTTGCTTTGTCATTAGAAACTTGTTTTCTACTAACTTATTTTGGCAAGAACAAGATAACTTATTCTTGGTGGGTTTGCATATAATAATCTAACCCATATTTAGAGTATTATACAAATATGTATTTAGTAGATATTTGGTTTAGAAGCTTTCATTCCAATTTAGGCTTCAGGTCCACAAAACACTTAATAAGATAAGGATGGAGTCTTTCCATACAATATCTTATAAAGAAAATGGTTTATCCACTTATTAGTTGGTATTTGTACTCAATGTACAATTGATAGTGTTATAGGTGTTCTCCCAAGAAAATAAAAGGAGGTCATTTCTACCAATTAGAAAGTAAATCATACCAAGTAAGATTTAATTTATCGTTTACTATCATTAAGGCTTTATGTGGTTCTTACCGGTTTGTATCTCAACTCTATATTTGAATAATTCAACCAAGATTTCATAATTATGCTTTACCATGTAAAACATAATTATAATGACTATAGTTGTTAATAAAGTTGGTTTGGTATCTTGTGCTAAATCTTAGACATTCATTTGAAAGGAAGTCATACATCATAGTGTGTAGTTCCTTACTAATCATTTTCACTACTACATTAGGAATCTTATATATATATATATGCTAAATAAACTACATTATTTTCCTTCAAATATCTCTTTCTTGAAGTTGGAATATATGTGAATGTTATTTATATAATAAAGATAACAATATCAAAGATATGTTTGATTTAAAACAAGTTTAAATCAAAAGTATTTTGCATATAGAACTTGTTTATTTATAAAACATTGGTATTTACTTTATTATTCTTATTAAGATATCTAGTCTCTTAAAAAGAATTTTAATCATTCCAAATATGAAGGTGATCGTTATGAAAACAAGTTAAGTAAATAGTCAATCATTCATAAATTAAAATACTCGAAACATATATTTAGACAAGCTAAATCAAAACATACATTGTTCCAAAACAAACATTTTTTCATAATACAAGTGCATTATGTTCCAAGCATAATTAATAAAGTAAACTCCGAGAGTGCAGTTCCAACATGAGTGTGCTAAGCTGGTTACATTTCTGTAAATATCTACAAGCCATTTACAAATATTAGATTAACATTTAAGTACCAAGTACTTACATGTATATGAAAAGTATGAGTTCTATCTAGTAGATACCTGAAGTACTTGTAACAACCATAAAATTCATGAAAATTTAAAACTTTTTCAAACATCCAAAAACCATTATTTATTACAAAATGTTTTCAAAATAGTTTTATATCAGAGTATCCCAGAAATCAAAATCATAAAATGCGAGGAGGTGCACGATCAAGCCTTTGCCTTCCAGCGATCATCCGAAGTACCTGAAACAAAATCCAAAACTATAAGTCCGAAGCTTAGTGAGTTCCCCCAAAATACCAACGCCATACAAACCATAAATATATCATAACAAACAGCAAGCATATAAAGTCTATAGTATGACTGGACCGCCCTCACAGGGCCTTCAATCTGTCTGGCCCACTCTCAGAACCTTCAGCATGTCTGGTCTGCCCTACCGGGCCTTCATCCAGTCTGGACCGTTCTCCGGGCCTTCGGCCTGACTGGTATGCCTCATTGGGCCTGCAGTATATCCGGGCCGCCCTGCGTATGCTGGCGTACAACAC